TTACATTTTGCAATTAGCCTCTCTTTTCTTACTTGGAGAAAAATTATGGAGAGGTGTAGATATTGGCTAAAAAATAGAAGTGAAAGTTTAGGAATTTCTATTCCATCTCTCCTAATGTCTCTCCCACATCAGAGGCGTATTAAACCTAAGTAGCCCAAAGGAAGACCCAGGGCATTCTAAGCTGTGAGCAACAAAGTTCCCATTTAAGTTCCATTCAAAGTGACTGGGAATACCTGCAGAACCACCTCCTTCCTGCCAATGTACTTTAGGAGACAGACATAAGGATTTTTAAGTGAATCCAAGTCATACCTATCACTATCACGTGTGACTGAATGGCCACTTATTAAAGCTTACAAAACTCCGAATTCGCTTGTCAGCAACAACATTTGACCACAAGGAGAGACGCCCAATAAATTGCTTTCACATTGGCTGGCACCCTGGTTCAGAAGGAGGATACACCCAGCTGGCACTCTGCATCTGGTTCTTGAGGGTGGAGACAACAGAGTGCCCTCCTACAGTAGTTCCAAAATGTAAAGCTCTCCCAGTCAAAGATCAAAGATCAAAACTAATTGGGGAGTAGAAGGGAAGATACTAATACAGAGCTGCCTACTTACATAAAAGGATTTACCAAGCAAGAGATACTAAAAAAAGATACATAAAAATACCATCTGTTGCTGTCATAATTTTCTAACAAAGAGAATATTTTAATATCAGAAAGTAAAGAGGACATATTCTTTAAAAACAGATCTTGTCTGCCAATCACCACTTCACAAGAAAATGGCTGGATAGATTTTCACCAAATACGGAATATATGTTTTGGATAATGTAGCAGAGTCAGCTTCCTGGACACAGAGGTAGACCACATTTCCCAGCTTCCTTTACAGTTAGGTGTGGCCTGTAACAGAGTTCCTGGAATGTAAATGGAAGTGACCCTGGCCCCTAAACCTCCCACATATCCCTCCTCTTCATGCTTTTAACCTTTCTGTGGCTGGATGGCGATGCCCAGTGCAACCTTAAAAGCCATGAGATGACCAAGGGGGAACCTCTTTCAGTAACGGTGGGAAGCAGAGTACCTATCCACCCCCTTCAAACTCCAACCAATTTGGGCCATGATGTAAGAGAGACATGATTTAAAATATGTTTACGCCATTATACATGTTGGGATCTATTACAACAGCACTTTGTTCACACATGATTTCACTTAAAATATGGGCTATGAAGCAATAATAAAAAGATAAACAATCCAATTTTTAAAAGGACAAAAGATTTGAAAAGACACTTCAAAGAAACACATCCCAGTAGTCAATAAGCACATGAAAAGATGCTCAGCATCATTAATAATCAGAGTAATGCAAACTAAAACCACAACAGATACCACTTCATACCCACCAGAAGGGCTAAAGTTAAGACTGACAACACACCATAGGATGTGGAGCAACTGGAACTCTTGATGAAGTGTAAAATGGTACAAGAACTTTGGAAAAAGGCTTGGCAGTTTCTTATAAAACATTAACTTATCCTATGACCCAACAAATCCACTCCTAGGTATTTCCTAAGAGAAATGAAAGCATATGTGCGCAAAAAGACTTGTATAAGAATTTTCATAGCAGCTTTATTCATAATAGCAAAAAACTGGAAATAGCTCAGGTGTCCAGCAACAGAATAACCAAATGGTGGTATAATCATATAATGCAATACTACTCGACAACAAAAAGAATAAACTACTGATACATGAAACAACTTGAATGAATCTTAAAAGATTTTTGCTAAATGAAAGAAGCCTTACACAAAAAAAGTACATGGGTCAATGGTTCAAAAAAAATGCAAAACAGTGGCTGCCTGGGGCAAGATTGCAGGGGTTGCAGGGACTGACTAGGAAATAGCATGAAGGTGCTTTCCAGACTGATGATAATCTTCCATATCTTTTGATGAGACTTTAGGACTCACAGGTGTATATATTTATCAAAATTCATGAAATGATACATTTAATGTTTACACATTTCACTGTATATAAATACTA